TTGCCAGCTTTCTGTGTGTAGGAGACAGAAACTTTTCAACAGTCATACATTTGATATCTGTAGTATTTCTGCTATATTCTTGTCTTGAAGAGTCGCATAAAATTTTCAGCCTAAGACACACACGGTTTCATTGTGTTCAAAACATAGTAGGTTTTCTGTCTGTTTGCTTCAGTTAGTAACATGAGCTAATACCCACATCCACATTATTTTTTTTCTATACATGCTTCTCTGGTAACAAGTCTTTGCTTTCTTGATTCTATCATGCTGTCCTTTCTCAATTGCTAGTATCTTAAATATATCAGTTTTCTCTAAAAAAAAAAAAAACGCACCATTTTAATTTTCTTTTTTGGAGTCATCTTTTCTAATAGAAATAATTTATTGGAAGTCAAATCTGAGTTGAATTTGTAATCTGAGAAATCTAAATTGAGTCAGAATTTATTTTGAGTTTTACCAAATATTTGTTGATTTTTTCAAAATAATAGTAAATGCATTATGTTTTTCTAAATAGGTTATTTTTGTGAAAAAAATCTATATTTTCCAAAGCAAACAGAAAATTAGAAGAGTGACATTAGTTCATATTTTTGAAAGTCTTTTTAACGTCTGGCTTAATAGAAGGCAGATTTTTAACTTCACTGAAGCAAATGAAGAAAATCCAGCCTATAATGGTTATGGAATCAGAAAGTGATTGAATATTTTTATAAACATTTCAGATAATGCATGGACATTATTTCTTAATATTACACCAAAACTCAACAAGTGGTAATTTCTTAAAGGTTATTTGTAATGTAAGCCTGAAACTATGGCAGATGCCAAGTGTTACAAAATTCCAAATGAGTCAGCATTTTTAAAAATAAGTGCCTGTGGTTTTTTTGCTTAAAGCTTCTCTCAGTTTGATGTATTTTTCTTGTCTGCCTATGAGAAACAATTACTTATTTCAAACTTGCAAGTGTCCATGTTTCATGACATTTCTCCTATTTCTCTTATTATCTGATTGTTCTGTAGTAATTTAGTAAACAAAGTCAACAGTAATAAACATAATCAACAATTCAAGTTATTGCTCTAGACCTGTGAGTTTGTTGATATCAGAAAGGTGGTCATTCTCAATATCTACCTTTCACTATTTACATGAGCTGCAGGACCTCAGTGGTTCCATTTCTGTTCTGGTTACCAGTAGTTCATGTCTACTGCTCACTATGATGATGGATGGAGGTATACAGTGGCAGCATATAGTCAAAAATTACATGAGTGTACACATGCACATGTAAGATAAGTATGTCTATATTTTGCATATGCTGTCTCCATACTTTATCCTCTGTGACAGAGGAAGAAAGAGAAAAGTACATGCAGGGAGAGGAGAGAGAGAGAAAATAGTATATCAAGCAAAACATCTGTGTATTTTACACCTTTTTATTATTTATTTCTTAATTTATTTATTTAGTTGTAGTTGAACACAATAACTTTATTTTACTTATTTATTTTTATGTGGTGCTGAGGATCGAACCCAGCGCCTCTCGCATTTGCTAGGTGAGCCACAACTCAAGCCCCTTTACATCTGTTTTTTAACAACAAAAATGTTAATAAAATTTTAAAAATTATGGTCATAGTTTGGATCTTAAGTGTCCTCAAAGGGTCTATGTAGTAGAGGTTTGGTCCACTTTGTGGAGCTACTGAGTGGAATCTTTAAGAGGTGGAGTGAGAGGTCTTCAGGGCATTGGGACTATGATGTGAAGGGCATTGTGAGACCTTGGTTTCTTCCTTTCTCCTCTCTGTATATCCTTCCTGGCCATAAGATGAGCATTTCAACTTTGCCATGTGCTCCTGCTGTGATGTGCTGTCAGATACATCATAAGCCTAAAAGCAGGAAGTCCAACTGATCATGAACTGCAAACTCTAGAATTGTGAGCCAAAATAAACCTTTTCCCCGGGGGATGGTAGTGTACTCCTGTAGTTCCAAGGACTTGCGAGGCTGAGGCTGGAGGATTGCTGAGGCCTATCTCAGCAACTTAGCAAGGGTCTTAATAATTTAGAACATAATTAAAAAAAAAATTAAAAGGAACTGAGGATATACCTCAGTGGTAAAGAACACCTGAGATCAATTCTCAGTACATACAAACAAAACCCCCAAAACAAAATAAACCTTTTATTCTTAAAAATGATTATCTCAAATATTCATATACTGATGGAAAGCTGAATAACACAATTAAACCGAAAAAACCTAAAGCTATATCTTACTTCAAAATAAAATTGAGTTGTATATCTGGAAGAATAGACTAGAATATTTTGAAAACTTACATTTCTTTGGCTTCTGGTCCAGGAGATTTCCCTTTATAGGATTTCTTGTTTGATGAACATTTATTCTGGCATTCAGTTCTAGTCTGAAGGTCAATTATGCCTCTTGTGTTATTCTCAGCCACATGAGCTGCTGCTGGAAATCTAATCATGTTTTATACTGTGTCAAAGTCTGTGGGTACTTTAAAGTAACTGCTCAACAGCACAAAAATAAAGGGGGAAGTTTGACCTTTCTGAAATTCATCCAGGTTCTTTTTTTCTCCATTTCGTGACATTGTCACATAATATACTATTGTAAGAGAAATATTTGAGAAGAATTAGGGGAATCTTGTTACAAATTTTAATCATCCTAAATAACATGATAGAGTTATGTGATGGTACAATTTCAGTGCATCATTCCATCATGAGCTCTCTATTATCATTGTGTATGTAAGATAAAAGTTTGGCATAATATGCTGTCTTTACTTATTTTCCAGTAAAACATAAACATTCCTCCATAACCATTCAGAGATAATTCCTGACACTCTGCATGCAGCAACTTCTCTTTTGATTTTCATAGAGTAATTCCCAGCACTAGTAGCCCCTCCCAAATCTTAGATTTTAAAATATCCTAATCCATTCTCATTCTCAGTACAAGTCTAAATCATATGCATAAATTAAGATAAAGCTATGGTTTTCTCTTATATAATTAAATACTTACTAAAAATGGAGTTATGTTCTTGGTGGGAATTCCCTACAGTTTTTGGACATGGTAGTTAATTAATTGCCATAAACATTACTGTACTATTTCTAAAATTATATACCATTACATGTGACAAATATTTTAATAATGTTTAGTTAGGGCAAACATGTCATTATTACTTTTTACCCTGCACTAGAATAACCAAGTTTGTTCTAAATAAAAAATAAAATTTATTTGAAATAACATATCCCTGGCCATAATTATATTATAAATATATATCTACATGCTTCATGACAACTCAATTAATACATAAAGATCATGTGTCTTTAGAAATTTCTTTCAAATTTTATTAAATCATTCTAATATATGCTTAGCTTTCTAAAACAGGTCATTTCCATGTACAGTGACATGGAATATGAAGATATTCTCTATTGTCTGTATTTAGGTCATTCTCTCAAAAGGAAATTTAAGTTTTTTTGTGTTTTTTTTTTTCCTAGACTTGGGTGCTAAATGAATGTGGATTGGATCTCAAGATACATGCCTCATTCTTCCATTGTAAAGATCTTCATTCCTTTGACCCAGTAATTACAATTTTGTGAGTATCAAGTACCATATATGTAAAATGGAAGATGGGCCACATTTTTTCCAATATCCATTCTACCTCTAGTAGCATTTCAGAATATTTTTGATCTACCATAATAGTTAAATCACAATGTGCATTTCAAGATATTTGTTGATGACAAACTACATTTTTCCATTTGTGAAAAAATAAAGATGATAGAGCTTAATGTGCATGTACTTATTTGGTAAGAATTAGTTATTGATTATCAATGTACACATTAGTCTAATGGCCTAGAAAAATGATAATTTGATGATAATTAATACATTCCTTGTACTTTGAGGAAACATATCAGTGTGATAAATCATCAGGTTAATCTAGAGATCATGTATAACTCATAGATGTTCCAAAGGATATTAGTGAAAATGAATGCCCATTTTTAGATGATAATTTAAATCCAATTTATCATTTTTAAATACAACAAAGTGTTACAAATCTACTTTCTTAAGGTGTCTTCCTATTATTTTATTTGCACTTATCACCACATGATGACACATAATCATGAATGCTTAGTATAGATAAGATACTTTTTGTTTCATCTATTAATATTTCCTTTGTATTCACATAAAATAATAAACTTCATTAGAAGAGAAGCTATTATCTTCTATTTCTTGAAATGGCTTTTAATCTGATCTCGCTGAACAAAATAAAATACCAGGTTGCTGGCAACAGCACCCTATACCCATGGGCTCAGGGCATATTGAATGTAATATGTTTCTTGGGTTTTGAGTATAACCTATAAGTTAAGGCATCTTGTGGAGATACTAAAACCAAAATTCATGCATTTGAAAGATATTTCTGAGTTCAGAAAAACCCATGTAACTGGCAGCTGAAACCTACTATATAACTAATGCTGTTAAATGTCAATCACACCCAGCATTTACAAAGGGGAACCTAGGGAAACCCTTGAGCCATGGTCAGGTGCTTTCACTTTTGTTAGGGCTCTCATGATATTTGTCTTGTGGGCTCTTACGATATTTAACCCACAGTATGGGTTAAAAAAATAGAGAATTTAAAAGTAATAAGCTGCTTTATTTTTAATCTTGAATGAGTTTGGTATTTATTATTAATATTTACCTCATGATTAAATCTATGATGAAATTAGCTAGCATTAGTTTCTCTATACTACCTCAGTGGTTCTAGTAGTGGAATCAACAGCCAATTCCGAGTAGTAAATCATTTTTAGCTTGAAATAGAGTAGGTTCTGTCTTATTAACATAAGCATCAAATAATAAATGGTGGAGGTAGACTTTGAAGATCAAATCTAAGCTCAATATCCTTTTCTTATAGGATAAAACCAGGAACAAAGATGCAGACTCCTTCACTCCAAGTCCAATGATCTCTTTACTGAACCACGTTACCATATGAGAATATACTTTATATATAGAATTTCTTACAGAGATGGCTATATCAATGAAAATTGAATCATGAAAACTTTACATTATTGTTTTGAAGGAGGTTATTGTAATCTATATAGATCTAGAATTTAAAGTACTACTACCTGTTTCTTCACAGTAAAAAAAAAATTTCTGTTGAACTATTTTTTACTAGAATACTGATTTTCAATAAATGAATTACTCTGGCATTTTCTTTCATTTTAATATTTTGTCCGAGTGCTCAAAAATGTCATCAATCACTTATAACTATGTTTGTCAACCAGAGTTTCCTTAGGTGAGCAGCAGAAAAGTTGAAAGTGAGAGAGAAAGAGAGAGAGAGGGAACAAGAGTGCGGGCATAGCATCAGGTATGGATGCATTTCATTAATCTCGACTGTCCCCTTTGGCCATGGTAGCTGTACCATCAGTGCTTTCTCTGGGGCCATCAATCATTCACTCTCTGGAAGTGTCACCTGATCCTCAGTTCTTCCTTCTCTCTCATATCATTACTGTCATTTTTCTCAACGTAGGAATGCAGCACACAGACCTATTGAGAACAGAATAATTCTTAATAAGACCAAAAAAAGTACTAGGTAATATTACTGTGAAATATTCAATGCAATAGACATTTTAAGATTTTTTTTCAGCAAATATTCACAAAATTTCCACATTTTATAAGATTCCCCATATATTAGTGAGGATCCAGAGCTGTTTGTGGAATATTGTACGAAACAAGACAATTTATGTAAACTATTTCCCCAAGTACACACCATTCCACAAACAATTCCTTTGCTTAATTACTAAATGTTAAAATAGGTATATTAGATTTTAATCATCAATGCATACATTGCAAACATTGTTAAAAATACAACAGGAAGTGAAATAAAAGCTGTTTTTCCCTCATTTTTTTTTCTATTGCCAACAAGTTTCATTTTTTTTCCAGAGCAATCTTTGTCCCACCTTAAATGCATGATTATTTAATCATTCACATATAATCATCTTCATGTATATTTATTTTATATAAATAGAAATTAACTACATATTCAGGTATGATTTTTTTCTTTTATTAAAACGCAGTCCATGTTTGCAATGCTTTTGGGAATATAATCCTTTACAAAATCATTATAATTTTGTTCTACTGGTAACCTTTAAAATACATTTTTATATAATATTCCTAATTATTTTTTTCTTTATGTCTATTAACTTCCCACTGTGAAAAATGAAGAGATCTATTTTCTCTATTTCTTAGTTTTTGTAAGTGCTCATTGTTTCCCTTAGTTATTGTACTGATTATTTTTGCAGGTTTAAGTTACTTAGACTTCTCTTATTTAATTTATTATTGTTAAATAATTTTTATTTTTAATTATTTTTCCCTCCTAAACTTCTTGCCCCTTCTCTTCAGGTTTCTTTGCAATGTAGTACTTACACATTATCAGATTTCATATTATATCTTTCTCCATGCGCACACTTTTTTACACTAAAAAGTGCAAATAAATAGATTTGTTGCTCAGTGGAAATTCTTTGCAATGTTTTCTCTATTAATGTCTTACCGGAAACTTATCTTCTGATAATATCTTTTACAGAACTCATATAAATTATAAATGTTGAGGGAATTATTTCATAGTAAAAATGACTTTGTTGTTCAAAACTATCTTAAATTTTAACTTGTCCAGACAAAGAATTTTGTAGTCATGTTTGATTTTTATGAAAATGTTGCATGCACCTCTCCACTAATAAAAAGTAAGTATGGGAAAGCAGACTAATTTTTTCTTTTAAATAAAGCTTGATATTTTCATGTCATTAATAAATAAGGATTCTTCTTTCTATTTGTAATGTAATGCCTTTAATAGAATATCCATTTAACAAATATTTTATGATTCTGTGTCAACTATTCATAAAAGTCTTGTAGTCTTTAAATTTGTAGAGTCAAATTCCCTTCATCCTTGTCAATTTTTCTTAAATTTTATTTTCTCATTTTTCTCTCTGCTCTTTTATATTATTTATTTTCTTCAAGATATTCAGTTGTACGTTTCTTACATCCCTATTGTCTTCCTTGGTTATGGCTGTCCCTCTGTACTTTTTTTCCAGTGCACTTTCTATATGAAATTCTTTAAGGTTTTCAGAAAATTTCAGTGGCCAACAATGTGAAAGGAGTAATTCTCTCACATTTCAAACGTGGATTAGTACCACATATTACATGAGGAGCTGTCAGTAAAACAGATAAAACTGACACAGGGCAAGGAAAATGCTCTGAGCATTTTGGTGGAGATATAAATTATAAATATATAACAGCCTGCTCTAGGGCTTGGAAAGAGTATGGACAGTTTTTTATTTTGTCGGGATAAATGAAGGATTTATAGAGATTGAATGAAATTTTGTTCAACAGCTTTAAAGATTCTGCTTGTTTATTTTAGCTGAAACTGGCACAATTTCATTTTGCCACTGATATTTAGATCTGCCATCCAAGTCAGTGCTTGACACATAATAACAATTTTCTATTCAGGTATTTCCTAATGAAGGGCGCATTGTACAAAATCATGAAATAAAAAGAGAACTAAATGTGTGGACACCTTCACTGAGTAAAACTTGTAGTGCAAATTTAGAGGATAACTGTTTTTCTGACCAAAGGCAGCATCATAGAAATAAAGAAAGTCTATTAGAAATCTCTTGTCCTTAGTAGGCTGATAATGGCTCCCTAATATATCACATCCTAATCCTTGGAACATGTAAATATTGTTTTCTTTGGAAAAAAAATCTTTGAAGATGTGATTAAAGTAAGATCTTCAGTTGGGGAAATTATCCTGGTTTATCTACATGACCCCAAGATGGCATCGTCATCACATTTATTCTCAGAAAAAGGAAGCAGGGAGTTCAGGCACCAAAACACACAAGAGGAGGAGACCTTAGAGTGATGTGACCACAAGCCAAGGAGTCCCATCAGCTAAAGAGGCTAGAATCAACAAGAGCAGTCTCTTCTGGAATCTCCAAAGTTAGTGCAGTCTGCTGGACTCCTTCTTTCAATTCAGGGGTTTAGATTTTTGACTCCCAAATTCTAGAACTGTGAAAGAGCAATTTTCTATTGTTTCAAGTCACCAAGTTTATGCTAATTTGTTGCAGTCTTCACAGGAAAAGTAACACAAAGAATTGCTTAATTAAAAAGAGTATTTCTAGTATTTGAACATGTGACAGATTTGAAAGATCCATAAAAATTTAAGTTCCCCTCTTCTATCTATATTGTTTACCAACTATATTATGTGCATTATTTTTTAATCTTTGGAAATGCATGAGTACTTGATTTACTTTGAAGATACATGATATTCAGGCATATAATCTCAACTGAATGTGGGTGTAAGTGTGTGTGTGTGTGTGTGTGTGTGTGTGTGTGTATATATATATAATATGTATGTGTGAGTATATGCATATTACATAATATATACACATATGGACATTTTGTGTTCTTAAATTGTTCTTGCTGGCAGGAGAGTAATGTGGTCTTAGTTGAAAGCCACATATTAGTTTTCTAAACTTGGAAAATAGCCTTTTCTGTATCTGAATCTGCAGGAGCAATGTGGGGAAAAGACCATCGACCTTATGGGTTCCTGTGGGACTTACACCAGATAGTAAAATTAAAGTGCAAAGCACAATGTGATATAGTGTTTGAAACCTAGAAGGTATCCAATAAATACTACTGAGTTATTTTCCCTCTTCCTACAAACAAAGTTAATATATTCCAAAGAGAATTAATCTGGCAACAGACCAGAATTGTGAAGATTACTGCTATCAGCAGGAAGATTGCTTCAGTATCCATTTTCCTTATAAATGGTTAGGTTTGGATATTTTAGAGGTTGAATCTAATTTATCATTACTGTGAAGATGTCATGTAATACTATATAGAAAAGTGGCTTTTGTGAGTGCAAGGATGTTGTAGCTTCCAATAAAATTACAAAATATTTACTGCATCCAGACCAGAAACTGTGTCTGATTTCAATAGCAAGTAAATAAAGACCTGTTCTCATAGTCTTAAATCACTGTCATCTCTACTCTGGCATGTTATTCATTTCCAGGCTAAAAGACCCAATGCTGCCCAATTCTATGTAATGTGAATTTTCTTCTTACTGAGTTTTATAACCCAAAGCAAGTAACAGTGGCTCAAAAAGAACAGTCATAGAATTATTAAAACTCAAGTAAAATTTGTTTTAATGACATATTTTAAAAGCTCCAAAGTTAGTGCATTAATCAAATTTATAAAATTCAATTAATCTTACAATAAATGTTTTTAAAGCAATGTTTCCCTAGGGGGTAAAATAAAATTAATTATGAAAAATTTTGCTAACAAATGTTTATTAAATGCATAATGTAAAGCATGATAAGAACCTATTTTCTGCTTTATAGGATGTGACTGCCAATTTTAAGGTTAGAACAAGAAAAATTGTCACAAGTGAGCTCAGGCTAATTCTCTGCATGTTTGAATCCAGTTCCTGATCTAGGGTTCTGGGTTTTTGTTACATAAAGTAGTAATCATGGACCAGCTGTAAAGGCCGTGATTATAAATGACAATTCTATTTATACGTGGCATATATCCCCCTCCATCAAAGTAAAACCTACTAACTGAATGCATTAGGACAACAAACTGATAGTTATTTCATAAACACAATCACATAGTGCTGTTCCCAGAGTCTAGATGCACCATAATCAAAATCATCATTTAATAGTTTCCCAAAGTCTGTGTTTTATGCCACATACCATGAGAGTCAAAATTGACCAAATATTTACATGAAGAAAATTACAGGAAAAAGTAATTGAGGAAAGCTATACAAAATTATTTTATACTTTGCAAGTAGAAAATATATTTTAATTGTAGCCCAAAATTCAGAACTCAGAAAAGGAAGATGAATAAAATTACTTTTATAACAAACAAATAAATATCTTTTGAACCTGTAATGGCAATAAATTATGCTTTCACTAAATTAGCTTTCATTGCCACTCATTTTGTTTTATACAAATTAAAAAGAAAGAAATCATATAATTAAAAACCTCTAAGACCCAATTTGGTTATTTCTCATCATATTCTCCCCAAACTTTATTTTCTCTCAACCATTTTTAATCATTATATTCCTGTAACTAGCATAGTCATAAATATCTCTCTGGTGTGCTCTTTGTCTCTCTCTCTCTCTCTCTGTGTGTGTGTGTGTGTGTGTGTGTGTGTGTGTGTGTGTTTGTAATTCTGTTTTTATTACATTTTTTTTAAATTAACTTCATCTTCTAAGCATGTCTGGGCAAAATATTTACCAATTGTCTCTCAACTACAAGCTCATACTAATCTATTTGCTGCTTTATTATCCTGGGCTGAAAACATTATACTCTGAATTTCATTTTCCAATATCTCTTACCAGAAGTTCCCCAACCCCTTAATTCATATTAATGAAAGGTCATTATAGGTGATAACAAATAGGGAGGAATGAAGAAGAGACTCTTCCAATTTTCAGAATCTGCATTTCCCTAACAGTATGTTAGCGTCCAGCCTCCATTGTCTGCCAGCGCTCATAA